ATCACAGCGTCTGTCCCTCAGTCCATCTAATTTTTTTAGTGTATTTCAAATTGAAATGCGGACATCAGTACATTTCCTGCTAAATATTTCAGCATGTTTATCATTAACTAGAGTTCAATATTTATTTATATTTTTCTTATGTAAAATTTCAGGGAAAACTGCAAATCTTATTTGTACATTTGTCAAAGCCGTCTTTCACTCAGCAAAATGTTTTGAGTTTGTTACATATAACAATAGTTCATTGCTGTTAATTTTTTTTTTTTTTTTTTGAGACGGAGTTTCGCTCTTGTTACCCAGGCTGGAGTGCAATGGCGCGATCTCGGCTCACCGCAACCTCCGCCTCTTGGGTTCCGGCAATTCTCCTGCCTCAGCCTCCTGAGTAGCTGGAATTACAGGCACGCACCACCATGCCCAGCTAATTTTTTGTATTTTTAGTAGAGACAGGGTTTCACCATGTTGACCAGGATGGTCTCGATCTCTTGACCTCGTGATCCACATGCCTCGGCCTCCCAAAGTGCTGGGATTACAGGCTTGAGCCACCGCGCCCGGCCATGCTGTTAATTTTTTTCCTGTTTTAAGAGATGGGGTCAGCTGGGCACAGTGGCTTATGCCTGTAATCCCAGCACTTTGGGAGGCCAAGGCGGGCAAATCACAAAGTCAAGAGATCAAGACCATCCTGGCCAACAAGGTGAAACCCCATCTCTATTAAAAATACAAAAAAAATATATATATATTAGCTAGGCATGGTGGCGTGTGCCTGTAGTCCCAGCTACTCGGACGGCTGAGGCAGGAGAATCGCTTGAACCCGGGAGACAGGTTGCAGTGAGCCGAGATCACCACTGCACTCCAGCCTGGTGACAGAGTGAGACTCCATCCCAAAAAATAAAATAAGAGATGGGGTTTTGCTATGTTGCCCAGGTTGGTCTCAACCTTCTGGGCTTAAGCAATCCCCTTGCCTCAGCTTCCTGAGTAGCTGGGATTACCAGCACAAGCAACCATTCCCATCTAGTTAATTGCTTTTTAAAAATAAACTTATCATTTTAGAATCACTTTAGATTTACAGAAAAGTTGCAGAGATAGAACAGAGCTCCTGTAAGCCCCCATCCAGTTGCCTAAGTTGTTAACATTTTATGTTACCATGATGTGTTTGTCAAAACTAAGAAACTGATGTGTTACTATTAGTCTGAAACACTTAGACTTGATTTGGATTTGCTGTATTTCCACTCACATCCTCTTTCTGTGCCAGGACTCCATCCAAGGGTCCACGTTACATTCGTCACTTCTTCTCAATTTCCTCTGCTTTGCGTCTTAGTCTTTCCTGACTTGTCATGACCTTGACAGTTGAGGAGCACTGGCCAGGCATCTTGTAGACTATCCCCGAGTTTAGGTTTGTCTGATACTTTTCTTAGGATTATCCTGAGGTTGTGGGTTTTTAGAAAGAATACTCCAGGCGAAGTGCCCTTCTCCTCACATCTGATGGGGTACATGCTAGCCATGTGATTTCATGCCAATGTTAACCTCCAACACATGGTTAAGATAGTGATGGCCAGGTTTCTCCACTGTAAAGTTACTCTTTTCCCTTTCCCTGCTCCTCGGCAGGAAGTGAGTGACCAAGTCTAGACCACCCTGGGCTTAGGGGATGTGGAGTGGACAAGAATTAAGCTCCTTCTGTGGAAGGGGAGCATATCTGCCCACAATGTTTGAAATTCTTCTGGAAGGAAGATTTATCTCTTTCCCCCACCCCCATTGATTTATTGATTCATTCCTTTATTGGCTGATTTGTTTTTAATTGAAGTTTTACTTTTTTTTTTTGGAGACAGAGTTTCACTCTTGTTGCCCAGGCTTGAGTGCAGTGGCACAATCTTGGCTCACCACCACCTCCGCCTTCCAGGTTCAAGTGATTCTCCTGCTTCAGCCTCCTGAGTAGCTGGGACTATAGGTGCACGCCACCACACCCAGCTAATTTTTGTATTTTTAGTAGAGATGGGTTTTCACCATGTTGGCTGGGATGGTCTCCGTCCCTTGACCTTGTGATCCGCCTGCCTCAGCCTCCCAAAGTGCTGGGATCACAGGTGTGAACCACCGTGCCCGTCCTAATTTTGTATTTTTAGTAGAGATGGGGTTTCTCCATGTTGGTCAGACTAGTCTTGAACTCCTGCCTGCCTCAGCCTCCCAAAGTTCTGGGATTACAGTCATGAGCCACTGTGCCCGGCCGAAGTTTTGTTTTTTATCAACAGAATACATGTATGTAGCTTACAAAGTAAAGGCTTATAGGGGAAAAGAAGAGCTACCTAAAATCTTACCATTATTTCTTCTGGTACTTCAACAACAATGCTTACTCTTCTATGTGTACCTTTTTCCATTTTATATTAGGTTGGATCATATCAAATTGCCAGCATTCAACCATTTTTTAAATCTGCAAACATGGCAGTTTCGTGTGGTCCAACCTAATAACCTAATATTTTTCTTTCTACTTCTTGTCCAGATGATTGTTGTGTGACATGGAGTTGCCTCATTTTGATTGGTTGTGGATGTGACTTCACCTGTCCCTCATCTGACCTGGTTCAGGGATCAGCCTCTGAGCTCAGCCCCTGCTTCAGGCTCCTCCTGCCCAGATGGCATCTCAGGCGTGGGTGAGAAGGGCCGCAGGGTAGGATGTCAGCCTTTGCTGTGATTGCTGCCCCCCAATGTGCCAGCCTGGAGCTGCCAGCTGGACAGCTGGGGGCAGGACCTCAGGGGCTGCCTGAGCTCTTGTCTGCTTTGCTGACACTGTGGCCAATCTCATGCCCATCAGTGAACTGGGCCCCAGGTGTGGACCAGCTTGCTGGGTCCATGGCCATTGGTCCAGTGCTCCAGGTTGGCCTTAGGCCAACCATTGAACCCCTTGAGCCTCAGTTTCCCCATCTGTTTAAGATGAGGATTGTTAAACCTTCCAGATGGGCTTCTGTGATAACAGAACGGCAGGTACTTGTCCTGAGGCCATCAGAGCTGCTGGTGACAGGACACCTTCCTGAAGTCCTCCAGGTGCCTGTGATCTCTCCTTAGCTGCTGTTGTGTTACCTTTAGGTGAGTGAGAAGCTGCCCAGGACAGGGTGCTGGGGTCTGGAGGTCTAGATCCCAGGCTTAGCTCAACCTCTGTCTTGCCCCAAGACCATAGCCAAGGGTTCTCTGCCTCATTCTCCCCATCTGTGCCAAGAGGTGGTTGGTGTCAATCCTCTGAGAGGCCTCCAGGTGCCTGAAAGCTGTGGTGTTTGCAATGTGAGCCCCATCCCCTCATCCTTCTCTGGGGCTGGGCCCTGTCCACCCTGCTTCAGATACCAGAGGTCTTGAGCAGCTTGGGCTGACTGGGATTGTAGACTCCAGGTCTGGTGTGTAGGGCCCTTAGCAAATCATCCTTGAAGAGACAGTGGAGCTGAGCTCCTAGGCCCCCTTTGATTCTGTGTATGGCCCAAAATGGGACAAACTGAGCTGGGCACAGAGATACCATAGTGACAGAACCACTCAAAGACTCTGCCCTGATGGAGGCCCTGGGCCAGGGGAGGAGGCACAGTCAGGCTGTCAACTGAATGGAAAATTGCACTTTGGATGAGTCTGTGTTACTGAGTAGAGATTAATAGAGCTAAGACCTAATCTGGGGGTGGGGGGGGCAAGTGATCCTCCTGAGACCTGAAGGGTAAGCAGCTGTCAACTAGATGAACGGGGAGAGAACATTCCAGGCAGAAGAAACAGTAAAGATCCTGCAGCGGGATTAGGTGGAGGCGGGAGAGGGTGGGCAGGGACCTGGGCAAGGTCTCAGAGTGCCAGGGAGTTTGAGCTTTGCCCTAAGGGATGGAAAGCCTTTGGAGGATTTGAAGGCTGGAAGTAACATGATCAGATGTGGGTTTTGAAAAGCTCCCTCTGGCTGCCAAGGAGAATGGGGTGGGCGTGAGTTTGAGAGGAGGGAGCCCAGGGACCAAGCTTTGTTGTTTAGATGACAGTGGCTCTGTCTAGAGTAGTGACTGTGGGGATGTATCGAAAGGGTGCATTTGAGTTTAGGAGGTAGAATTGACAGGTCATGGTGGCTTGATGTATGAGAGAAGTGTCAGGCAATTTTGTGGCCTGGGCGCCTGGATGGAAGATGGGAGCATGGATGCCCAGTGGGAGAAGTGGGTTTGACAGGGGAAAGGTAAGGAGTTTGATGTGGACCTAGTTGGGGTGGAAGTGCCTGTCAGAGGGGGCACAGGCCTCTGGTTGCACAGACACCAGGCTGGCATTCGAGGCCAGAGCTTAGGGTGGAGGTGTAGACCATGGGTGGGAGCAGGGGGAGTCTGGGCAGCTTCTGAGAGGTCAAGTACGGGCCCTAAGGTGGGGCCCTGGGCAGGGCCTCTCCAGTGATTGTTGATTCAGGGCCAGGCAGGGGCTCTGTCTCCCATCACCTGCCAGCCACTCAGGGGTCCTGGGTTCAGGGGGTGGTACCCTGCAGCACCTCACATCCTCTCTCTCTCTCCCCAGATCCTGCTCATCTCTGATTACTTCTATGCCTTCCTGCGGCGGGAGTACTACCTCACACACGGCCTCTATTTGACTGCCAAGGACGGCACGGAGGCCATGCTTGTGCTCAAGTAGGCCTGGCTGGCACAGGGCTGCGTGGACCTCAGGGGCGGGAAGCTGGGCCAGGCCCTCCAGCCAGAGTTGCCAGCAGGAAAGTCCTTGGGCAGAAGAGGTTCAAGTCCAGGGTCACAAGTCTCTGGTACCAAAAGGGACCCATGGCTGACTGCAAGGCCTCTGGGGAGGAACTGGGAGCTCTGGAAAAGGCAGGTGAGCAGGGCTTGTTAGGTTGTGGTTACTTAATAAATGTTTTTTGTTACGAAGCCTACCCTGGGCCCACATCTGCATTGCACTCATAGAGGGGGTGGCCCCTAGTAATGTTCTGGAATACTACACACCGGTGTGCCAGAGCCCAGGGATGGTGCGGACAACCCCACCAGCACCCTCCTCACTCCCAAGCAAGCAGCTGGAGGCACAGGGCCAGGCAGGCCTGAGCAATCTTTATTCTGCAGAGGGACAATGACCACAGATCCATACACCATGTGGAGACGGAGGGTGGGGGGCCAGTCTTTCAGGGGTGGGCAGGTCCAGGTGGTGGGCAGAGCCTCGGGTGGGTGAGGGGCAGGCAGGGGCCTAAAAAAAAGATGAACCACACAGCAGAGGTGCTGGGGGATGCTCTCCACCCTCCCCCATCCCAGCCAGCACCCAAAGGGGCAACCCTAACAAAACCACCCAGGGGCAGAGTAGGTGGGTTGGTACCCTCTGACTAGGGGTCCACATCCCTGCCCAGCCCACCCTAAGCAGAGGCAGCTCAGTTCAGGAACCAGGGGTTCTCTGGGCAGGGCCTGACCGGGCTCCCCCCCACTCCCAGGCCGACCCCCCCCCCTACTGCTGGCTCAGAAGCCGAAGGTTTCCTGGGAGGCGTAGACCATGTAGAGGAAGCCGTCCTCGTCTTTCTCCTGCTCGTAGATGTCCGCGATGGGCGTGGACACGCTCACCATGCTGTGCTGGTTCACCAGCAGGAAGAAGGCCTGAGTGGGGTTCAGCTGCAGGCGGCGCCTGAGGTGGGCGGGAGGGTGTGCGGCTGTGAGGGACTTGGCTGCAGGGCAGGCACAGCCCTGACCCCCAGAATGATTCCCAGCCTTTCGCATCCATCCTCACCCCAGCTCTCACCTCTGACTTGACTCCAACTGCAGCCCCGACCTTGACCTTTCCAGCTGCCCCAGAACAGGGGCCCACCGCCCAGTCCCATTACTCCTGAACCCACTCCCACCCGCCTCGGCGGGAACCAGGCTCCCCGCCCGACCCAAGCTGCCTCCTGGCGGCGGCTGCCCACGCACCGGATGATCTTGACCAACTCGCTCATGTTGACATGGTCCGGGACCAGGAACTTGGTCTTGTCCAGGACGGGCAGCTGCTTCTCACCCTTGTAGCGCTCGATGATCACCTGGGAGCGGGGCAGGCGGGCAGGGGTTCGTGTCGGGAGTACGCGAGACGCGGCCAGGGCAGGGCAGGGCTGGGGGCGCGGGACTCACCGGGATCTTGCTGGGGTGCTGGTCGCGGATCTGCTGTACCTCCTTACAGCGGTCGGCTGCGGATGGCGTTCGGACCTTGAGGCCGGGCCGGGCCCGGCCCAGGTCCTCCCTGTGTCTCCGCCCCGCCTGTCCCCAAGGGGCGGCCCCCAGCCCCGCCCCAGCTCCAGCCTCCGCCCCCGGGGCCGTCAGGCCCCATAGCCCCTAGCACCTATCGTGGTGGGGAGGTGGGTGGCCCCCGGCCAGGCTGAAGTCAGCCTCCCAGCCCGAGGGTCCGGCTGGAGCCTGACGTCACAGGGCTGACGTCACCTGCGGTAGTCGGGGTCGGCCGGGCCCCCGGGTACCCCTGCTCCGAGCTCACAGCTTGCCCGCGGGGCCTCACCGAAGCTCCGCCGCTGCTTGAAAGGCCGGTCTGAGGGCATCGCGCGGGCCCGGTTGGGCGCGCAGGCCGGGGCTCTGGGACGTGGGGATGTGGCTGCGGTTTGGGGGCTCCGGGGGCTCCGTGCCTCACGCTCAAGGGCTCCGGGGCTCGCGCTGAGCGCGGCGGCGGCGGCTGCGGGAGGTAACTCGCTCGGTGACGTCAGGTCACAACATTCCTTAAAGGGGAGGCCGGCGCACTGCTCCCATTGGGCCGACGCACAACCTGCCCGCCCGGGCTCATGACGTCACGGCGCAGAGAGCCTGGGTCCCCGGCTGGGGACGCGAGGGGCGGGGCTCCCGGGCGCGTCACGGTCCTGTGACGTCATGACCGGCCCAGGAGCCTCTCCCGGTGCGCGCGAAACTCAGGTGAGGCCTGAAGGGCGGCGGGGCTGCCATGGGCTGAGGGAATGGGCGGGCCAGGCTGCAGCCCCGCGGCACCGCTTCCCGCCCTCACCGAGTCTGTGCCAGGCCTGACGCGATTCTGGGCACCGTGGGAAATACCCGGAGCCAAAGGCCGGCGCCTTCAAGGGGCTTAGGAGAAGAGAAGACGGGAGAAGGTGCAGGAGGCACAGTCAGACACAGGATCAAGCAAGACATTACAAAAGGCGGCCCAGGTTTGAAAAGGAATTATAGAATTGACAAGTAGAGCCATGGAAATTCAGGTCTCAGAGGATGAGGTGTAGGACAGCAGAAGAGAATTCGTGAACCCGAAGGCTAATCGGGAGCAGCTCACCAGAGACAGGTGATGGAGAGTAAAAAGGAAAAAGCCATGGATGGCAATGCCGGGAGATGTCACAGGCCGGAGCAGAGCTCCAGAGGCGAGCACTGAAAGACCTGCAGAGGCAGTTCCCGAAGGAGAGCTGCCAGAAGTGATTCTTAAAATCCAGAGTAGAATGCACACACCGGAGATGAACATCTGGACACGCTAGTGAATTTGCAGAACTCCAAAGACTACGCGATTTTCAAAAGCGACCAAGGATGATGGATTTTAAAAATTACACCAATAACGGACTTCTCAGCAGCAAACATAGAAGCTAGAGTAAAATGTAACTTTACACCCTGAAGGAAAAAATGCTGTCAACGAGTTTTGATCCATGATTTAAGAGTTAAGGAGAAGTAAAGATATGTTGTGACAAAGAGTTTACACAAAAGACCATTGCTGAAATTATTTTTTGGGGGGCAGTGGGACGGAGTCTCGTTCTGTTGCCCAGGCTGGAGTGCAATGGCGCGATCTCAGCTCACTGCAACCTCCACTTCCCGGGTTCGAGCGATTTGTCCTGCCTCAGCCTCCTGAGTAGCTAGGACTACAGGTGCGTGACACCACACCCAGCTAATTTTGTATTTTTAGTAGAGACGGGGTTTCACCATATTGGCCAGGATAGTTTTGATCTCCTGACCTCGTGATCCATCCGCCTCGGCCTCCCAAAGTGCTAGGTTACAGGCGTGAGCCACTGTGCACGGCCGCTGAAATAATTTTTAAAGAATGTACTTCAGTAACAAGGACATGGAACCCAAAAGGAAGAAATTAGATGGAAAAATGGTGAGCAAATTGGTAAACGCGAGTAAATCTAAATAAGCATTTAATATGCAACATGAATAATAATGATTGATTTGTGGGCTACAGAAACGAGATGTATGAGACACAAGAACTTGGAAGACTGAGAGGGCAGAGTTAAGGTGTTCTAGGAAGTTAGATTTGTTTGAGAGGTGGGTAAAGAAACTGAGGATTGTCTGGCTTTGTAAAGTTAGGTGAGTATTTCAGATATTTAAGAGGGATCACCAAAAGAGTAGAAACGGAGGCCGGGCGCGGTGGCTCACACCTGTAATCCTAGCACTTTGGGAGGCCAAGGTGGGTGGATCACCTGAGGTCAGGAGTTCAAGACCAACCTGGCCATCATGGTGAAATCCCATCTTTAAAAAAAAAAAAAAAAAAAAAAAAAAAGAGTAGAAACGGAACTGTAACTGCCAATGCAGAGAAAAGGGTAGTGATAGGTATTAAAACTAATAACAGCCGGGCGCGGTGGCTCAAGCCTGTAATCCCAGCACTTTGGGAGGCCGAGGCGGGTGGATCACGAGGTCAAAAGATCAAGACCATCCTGGTCAACATGGTGAAACCCCGTCTCTACTAAAAATACAAAAATTAGCTGGGCGTGGTGGCACGTGCCTGTAATCCCAGCTACTCAGGAGGCTGAGGCAGGAGAATTGCCTGAACCCAGGAGGCGGAGGTTGCGGTGAGCCGAGATCGCGCCATTGCACTCCAGCCTGGGTAACAAGAGCGAAACTCCGTCTCAAAAAAAAAAAAAAAAAGCTAAAACCCATCAGTATGCTGCATCCAGACCCATCTCACATTCAAGGATACACAAAGACTCAAAACAAGGGATGGAGAAGGATTTACCAACCAACCAGAGAGCTAAAATAAATAAAAAGCAGAAGTTACAATTAAGCAACAAAGATCAAAAGAAGCAAAAAAGGACATTATATAATGATAAAAGGATCAATGCAACAGCAAGAAGAGCTAAAGATCCTAAATATATACGCACCCAATACAGGAATACGCAGACATACAAGACTTATAAAGAGACTTAGACTCCCAAATAATAATAGTGGGAGACTTCAACATTAATATTAGACAAATCAGTGAAACAGAAAATTAACAACGATATCCAGGACTTGAACTCAGATCTGGAACAAGTAAATGTAATTAACATTTATAGAACTCTCCACTTTAAATATACAAAATATACACTCTTATCAGTACCACATCATATCAACTTAGAAGTTTAAATGAAATCTTGGTTGGCTCCTTGTTATTCTCTTCCCTCATTTTCTTTTATATCTCCATTATTAAGGACAATTATAGGCATACCCATATTTAGATTGCATTCTAGCCCGGGCAATAAAGCAATACCCCCATCCTCTCTCTCTCTTCCTCTTTCTCTTTCTTCCTCTTTATTCTTTTTCAAAAAAAAATAATAATAATAAAAATACATGGTACAAAACCAGAGGCAGAAAATGTGGTTTACCTTCACCTTTCAAAACACAGATTACCAGATGGGCCAAGAAAAAATAAAATGCAGCTCTATGCTGTTTACAAGAAGACTAAGGGCACCAAAAGTAAAAAGATGGAGGCTGGGTGTGGTGGCTCACGCTTGTAATCCCAGCACTTTGGGAGGTCGAGGCAGGCTGATCACTAGGTCAGGAGTTGGAGACCAGCCTGACCAATATGGTGAAACCTCGTCTCTACTAAAAATACAAAAATTAAGACAGGCATGGTGGTTCACACCTATAATCCCAGCTACTCAGGAGGCTGAGGCAGAAGAATCGCTTGAACCCTGGAGGTAGAGGCTGCAGTGAGCCAAGATCGTGCCACTGCATTGCAGCCTGGGCAACAGAGCAAGACTCAGTATCAAAAATTAAATTAAAAATTAAAAAAGGCCGGGCGCGGTGGCTCAAGCCTGTAATCCCAGCACTTTGGGAGGCCGAGGCGGGTGGATCACGAGGTCAAGAGATCAAGACCATCCTGGTCAACATGGTGAAACCCCGTCTCTACTAAAAATACAAAACATTAGCTGGGCATGGTGGTGCGTGCCTGTAATCCCAGCTACTCAGGAGGCTGAGGCAGGAGAATTGCCTGAACCCAGGAGGTGGAGGTTGCAGTGAGCCGAGATTGCGCCATTGCACTCCAGCCTGGGTAACAAGAGTGTAACTCCGTCTCAAAAAGAAAAAAAAAAAAATTAAAAAAAGTTAAGATGGAAAAAGGTATGCTAGAGAAAGACTAACCAAAAGATGTACCTTTAGAAAACTCAGACAAAATAGGCTTTCAGGCAGAAGACACGGGGGATAAAGAGGATCACCAGGAAATGAAAGGAGGAACTCTATGAAGATAGAAAAGGTTTGAACTTCTATGTTCCAGGGTTTCTTTTTTTTTTAAGGCTGAAAATAGTCCAGGCACGGTGACTCATGTCTGTAATCCTAGGACTTTGGGAGACTGAGGTGGGCAGATAACTTGAGGCCAGGAGTTCAAGACCAGCCTGGCCAACATGGCAAAACCCTGTCTCTACTAAAAATACAAAAATTAGCTGGATGTGGTGGTGCACGCCTGTCATCCCAGCTGCTTAGGTGGCTGAGGCAGGAGAATTGCTTGAACCTGCTATGTGGAGGTTGCAATGAGTCGAGATTGTGCCGCTACCCTCCAGCCTGGGTGACATACCTGAAATCCCAGCACTTTGGGAGGCCCAGACTGGAGAATTGCTTGAGCCCAAGAATTCAGGGGTGCAGTGAGCTGTGAATGCACCTCTGTATTCCTACCTGGGTGACTAAATAAGACCGATTTCTTTAAAAAATAAAAAATCAAATTTTTTTTTCCGTCTCAATAAAAGGGGAGAAGGGTGCTGAAAATAGATTAAGAACACAAGGAGAAATTGCCAAGTTCTCCATCTTAGTGTGAGACATAAGACCTCTTTGAGTAACTAATAAACCAAACCACCAAAGGCCTGGACTGGAGAATTGCTTGAGCCCAAGAGTTCAAGGCTGCAGTGAGCTGTGAATGCACCTCTGCATTCCAACCTGGGTGACAAAATAAGACCCATTTCTTAAAAAAAAAAAAAAAAAAAAAAAAAAAAAAAATCTGATTTATAGCCTTATTACATAGATTTATTACTTAGACAATATAGAAAATCAATGAGCAGAGTGTCAAAGAAATTTAAAAAGGAGTAATAGTGTAATCCCAGTATTTTGGGAGGCCCAGGTTGGAGAATCACTTGAGCCCAGAAGGTTGAGACCAGCCTGGACCACATAGTGAGACCCCATCTCTAGGAAAATCAGAAAATTAGGCCAGGCTCAGTGGTTCATGCCTGTAATCCCAGCACTTTGGGAGGCCAAGGCAGGTGGATCACTTGAGGTCAGGAGTTTGAGACCAGCCTGGCCAACATGGTGAAACCCCCTCTCTACTAAAAATACAAGTTAGCTAGGCGTGGTGGTGTGTGCCTGTAATTTCAGCTACTTGGGAGGCCGAGGCACAAGGATTGCTTGAATCCTGGAGGCAGATGTTGGAGTGAGCCACAATCATGCCATTGCACTCCAGCCTACGTGATAAGAGTAAGACTCTGTCTCAAAAAAATAGAAGAAAATTAGCTGGCTTTGGTGGCATGTACCTATAGTCCCAACTGCTTGGGAAGCTGAAGTGGGAGGATCATTTGAGTGACAGAGTGAGGCCTTATCTCAGAAAAACAACAAAAAACACTGGGGGGTGGGGAGGGGAACTAGGCCAGGTGTGGTGGCTCACACCTGTAATCACAGCACTTTGGGAGGCCAAGGCA